TATTTTATATATATAAAATAAAATCTGCAGAGAAAAAAAAGACTACAACATATCTACCACCATCACATAGAAGACTTTATTTTTAGATTACTTTTTAATGAAATGATTACAATGGATGCAGTAATCTTAGTACATGACCATGGTTTATGCTGCAGGTCTCCAATATTTCTTTTAATTACAGAAGTTGGTATTATACAGCCAAGAAACTCAGAACATGGTTCTGGAACTATATTTCTATACGAGTCCAATCATTCTGACTGGTAATAATTTGATAGCTGCATGCTGTTCCATTCAGGTCATCCTCTTCTGCATCAGAGAGCACTTATGTTTAGTCCTGATCAGAAGCATGTTCTACCTCTACTTCTACAGTCTGAATAGCTTCTGTAACCTCAGTCATTTTCTGTCCTTGCTGTTGTGCCAATACGTAATTGACTACCTGCATGATACTTTGGTCAGAAAGAGTGGAAACTGTTGTACACTCTTCAGTAGCTGCAACAGCTTCAAGAGTTTCTTCAGTTACTACAACTGTCTCAATCTGTTCATCACACATTTCTGTTTCTTGTTCTGCTGCATCAGACGTCAAAATACTGATGGCATGCTCCACTTGAGTCCCCTGGTTATGAAACTGAAGTGTGTCCTTTTCCAGCATAATTTTACAAGGTACATAATCCCGGTGGAACTTGGTCATATGCTTCCTCAAGGTACGAGCATCTATGTAGGCTTCATTGCACACTGGACAAACATAGGGCCGCTCTCCAGTATGTGACCTTACATGGCGCTTTAAAGAACGTGCATCAGCCCAAGCTACTCCACAGGTGAGACATTCGAAGGGCTTAACTCCTAGTCAACAAAACATGAAAATAAAGAAAAGTTAAAAGCCTTTGTAAGGCTAAGCAAAATCACCTCTGCAAAAGTAAGTTGGTAGCAATCGCTCTGAAGGCTCAGTCTCCACAGATTACAATAGAAAACACTGAATCTAAAAGGTCCCCTTTCACTGGTTAATGTCTTCATGCCAAGATATACCATTCTCAACCACAGTCACTCTGAGTTCTTATATATGATATGTAACATGCAGAAACCGTATTAAATAGGTAAGGAACAGCCTCCTGGGAGGGATTATGAAATATTCTTGAAAGATGCTATAGTCTGTGATACAAAGATACAGCCAACTTTTAGCGGGTTAAGACAGTAATTGATATCTAGATGTTGCATATTTGTTCTCAGGCTCTGCAAAGAGTGTACATTTACATTCAACTCTTAATGTTTTCAGTACTGTAAAAGCAATATTGACAGGAACTGTTTCCCCCAACAATTTAACAGTTCGGATCCAATGAAGGACCAGTGGAAAGCAAATGCAGATGTAGACCTTTCCAGTCACCACTCTTT